CTAAATCTTATGCTGAGCTATTTACTGAAGGTCAAGTTATTGAACTAATTGACGGTGATTCTGGCAAAGTGTCTGGTGCTTGGCTATTTGCTATTTTTAAAGAAATATCAATGAAATATCCTGATTTAAGAATCTTCGTTATTTCTATTCTTGGATTACAATCATCCGGAAAGTCTACTCTATTGAATGCTCTTTTTTCTTGCAGGTTTGCAGTATCACCTGGCCGTTGTACTCGAGGACTTTTCAGGAGACTGTTGTTTTTAGAAAGTGAACTTCGTGAAGAGCTTAATGTAGATGCAATCCTACTTATTGATACAGAAGGTCTTGGCGCTCCAGAGAAAGTAAATGAAAAAGATGCATTGCAGAAGGATCGACTACTGGCTACGTTTGTGATGGGCATTAGCAATTTAACACTTATCAATGTTCTCGGAGAATATATGAATGACTTGATAGAAATATTACAGATTGCAATTGTTGCAATGGCACGTCTAGAAAAAGCTAAAATTGCACCAGATATTTTTATGGTGCAACACCTTACAGAAAGAAATACAGCAAAAACATCTTCAGGACAAATTCAACTTTGTGAAGCTCTTCAGAAAGCTCTTAAAGTCGCAGATCAACATGATACAGAACTTGGCATTACAAATGCAAATTGTCTAAAAATTCTGGATGAGAGAATACAGAGAGGAGAACTCCTTCAACAATTTCGTTCATTTAAAAATGGAGCAAGTATAAATGCACCACCATCTGATCAATATCATGAAGATGTTACGAAATTATATGAAGAAATACTCAAGGTCTGTAAGCATTCTCATAGTAAAGTATCATTTAAACAATGGTATTCAGTCGTTAATGGATTCTGGGAATCTGTCAAGAACGAGAATTTTGCTGTTCAATTTAAGAATCTCAGGGAAATATATGATTTTATAGAGAGAAGTAAGCTGATTATGAAAGTAAAAGAGGCAATTAACGCTGCTTTTCAGACTCATACAGAACAATGTTCA